TGATCAGAAACAACGGCCGGTGGCCAGTGATTCGCCGGGACATGAGAAACAAGAGTTGATCTGATCAAAAGTGATCAGAAACAACGGCCGGTGGCCAGTGATTCGCCGGGACATGAGAAAAAAAGAGTTGAATTTGATCAAAAGTGAGCAGAAACAACGGCCGGTGGCCAGTGATTCGCCGGGACATGACAAAAAAGAGTTGAATTTGATCAAAAGTGATCAGAAACAACGGCCGGTAGCCACTGATTCGCCGGGACATGAGAAAAAAAAGAGTTGATTTTGATCAAAAGTGATCAAAAACGACGAAGGATAATAGGCTTTAAATACTTAATGATAGAGAGTGTTTAGGGTTTAGGATTAGGATTTAAGGTTTTGGGTTTTGGGTTTGGGGTTCAGGGTTTATTATTAAGGTTTAGGGTTTAGGATTTGGGTTTAGGATTTAGGGTTTAGGGTTTAGGATTAAGGTTTAGGGTTTAGGGTTTAGGGTTTAGGATTAGGATTTAAGGTTTTGGGTTTGGGGTTTAGGGTTTAGGATTAAGGTTTAGGGTTTAGGATTTGGGTTTAGGATTTAGGATTTAGTATTTGGGTTTAGGGTTTAGGGTTTGGGGTTTAGGATTTGGGTTTAGGGTTTAGGGTTTAGGATTGGGGTTTAGGGTTTAGGATTTGGGTTCAGGGTTTAGGCTTCATGGTTTACGGGGGCTACATGGAGTTGAAGGGGTTTTTAATCGGCGGCTTTATAAGGGTTTAGGGTTTGGTGCTTCAGGGTTTTAGGTTTGTTTTTTTTGTGTTTTGGTGCAAGGCTTTAGGGTTTTGGGGTTTGGGTTGGTTTAGCGCAAAGGGTTTTCTAGGGCTTGGGTTGAAGATGGAAGGTGTTTGAAAGATTACCGGGCACCCCTTTTGCAGAGCAGCCCCATCCCCCGACCCAACCCTACGTCGTAACCCCTACCCATAGGCCCCTAAGTGGTTCCGTTTTATGGTTCACGGGGGGATGCAGGCCGACGACTCTCCTCTGCTTCCGGTACAGGCGGCCGACCCGGACAAGCAGGCCCTGGCCTGGGTCGGCACGTCCCAAGGCGTTTACCTTAACGCCGACGAGCTGGCGAAACTCGGACCCCGGATCCCGCGGAAAGATCCTGAATCTGAAGAAGAAGGGGGAGATGGATTCATTGAGTCTTGCTGATGAGCGCTTTCACCGAGCGCCGCAGCTTTGCGCACCGCACATGGCTATGCCCGGACAAGGATCTCATCCCGGAATCGGGGTTGCGATTTGTCCTACAGAGATGTGGCATGAAGACATTCGCGTTCAACAGTCGTTCATGATCCAGGTGGTGTGCGGCTGACCATGATTCGCACTCAATCGAGAAATCTCTGCACGGAGTCAGGCGTTTAGGGCTCTTAGTTCTCTACATCGTAGTCTAGAATTTAGAAGGTGTTGGCGTTGGTTGCGGCATGGTTGTTGGAGGAGGGGTGTTTGCCCCTACACCCCAGACGCTATAACCTAACCGTAAAGCAAGCCTCAACCTTAATCCCGACACCCTATGCCCTGAACCGCACACTTTTACCCTAAACGGCACCTCAAAACCTTAAACCCTAAACCCTAAACCGGACAGGCCCTGCAATAAAGCCTTACACGAAACTTCAACAGTAAGATATACATCCTGAGCCATCTAACAAACAAATCTAAACCTAAACCCAAATCAATCGCTGGGAGGTTGAACCAGAACCGGCATGCCACGAGATGCACCACGAGGCACCCCAGCGGGGCCAATTCGAGCCGAGCGGGTGGGTTTTCAAAACCCTAGTGGTAGAGGAGGTAACCCTAACCTTCTTGGGCCTTCTTGGGATACACTCATCCGTATATAATCCCAAATGTTAACGTGTTTGGGATACCATAATCCTTCTATAATCCCAAAGGTTAACCTTTTTGGGATACTATTATTTCTTATGTAATCCAAAATCCAAAAGGTTCACCTTTAGTTCCCCTAACCCTAAACCCTAAACCGTAACCCTAAACCCAGGGCTTAGGGTTGTTTAGGGTTTAGGGTTTAGGGTCCTATATACACCCTAAAGTCCTGAGCGCTCAGCCCTACTGTAAGCCCCTTCAGGTTGAGGGCTTTCAGTTCTTTTGGGGTGGGTTTTAAGGTTTAGGTTCTCGGCTCGGGAGGGTTCAGGGTCAGGGTTTGGGGTTTAAGGGTTCAGGGTTTAAGTTCAGAGAGACGGGTCGGCGACTAAAAGCCAAAAGTGCCTACTTGCCAACGATTGGGTGAAGAAGCAAGGCTATCGCATGAGTTCTGACGATAAGACTTGCTTCGGCTGGTACCTGCTCGGCATCATTGCATATTATCTTTTGAGGCACAAAGCCCTAAACCCTAAACCCTACACGCTACATATTATCTTTTGACAAAAAAGGGCTCGTCCAGCCGACCTGGGAGCCAGTAATACGGTTTAGGGGTCAGGGTTTTGGGGCTTAGGGTTTTAGGACCGGCACCTCATGATTGTGCTTTTCGACTTTTCGACGTGGCGAGCGGGATGAAGCTAGTGGACCACCACGAAAGTGAACTTGAAACCGGTTTGTGGTCGTTGGCGGCTTTAGCGCTATGCACGAGGGGCGGCTTTTCATGCTCAATCACCTGCTCTCTTCCTGCAACATGGACAAGGTTTCGGTAAGACTGCTGCCTGTGACGAAATCCGCTGTCGCTCACGGTCAGGATTTGCAACTGCTGCAGTAAGTGCGGCGGACTTTCTGCAAGCTCTCGTGTGAACTTCTATCCCGATCGCGCAGCCTTAGTTTAAATCCCAAATCCCTTCATCCCTTCCAGAAGATTTGAATCAGCGCTACAGCAAATTGTAGAGTCCATGAATCATTCCAGCCCCTCAACCCTGAACCCCCTCCGATCCTCTTGAAACCCTGAACGTCTTTTATGAGAACTTACAGGCAACTCAAAACCACCCTGCAAAATCTCGACAGGCCTCGTTAAAGCCCCCTAAACCCTAAACCCCAAAGCCTTAAGATCCCAATGTTCTGGAGCCTCAAGGTTGCGCCTATGCAGCCGACGCCGAGTGCCTGCGCCAAAGCTGCGGAGGACAGTGCTACTGCATCTTGGTCTAAACAGTTAGTTGGTTGATAGTTGATAGTCTGAAGTGAATATACTGCACATACATACATACATGCAATTTGAAGTTCGTTATGTTCGTTATCACTATATGTTGTCACCACCATCAGCATAATCATCAACACTCTGGTTTTTAAGATAATGACTATGTCTATGACTATTTCTTCAAACAAAGTAGGGTCATGTCCCAGAGCAGAGAATGTAGAGGTTGGGGCTTTCTCGTGAGAGTATGCGGCAAATATTACAGTTACGTGTCAAACACAGAGTATACCATGCTCTGAGCTCTGCTTTAGACTCGTGTAAAGCCTTGCATCTGTGCGTTGAGCTTTCCCGCTCACCAGAAATGCGCCAGACCGTTGCTTAAGATAAACGCCAGCTGAGATGAGTAGCCGTGTTTCAAGGACCCCTATACGCAAGCCCTAAATAAAGCCCACACCCAAAACCTTGACTTCTTACGCCTCTGCGGCTGTTCGCCATGAGGCTTGAAGCCTCCAACACCCCAAGTATCCTCATCGTGCTGGATCTTATACCCCTAAACCCTAGGGGTGAGGGCTTCAGAGAAGGATGAACAAGCAAAGCACATCCACATAGAATTGTTTAAGCTCCCACATCTCTCTAAAGCCAGAAACTGTATGGAACAACGTCCCAACAAGCGACACAACCACCTCACATGGCCAGGCGAGCAGATGCAACCCCAAACCCTGAACCCAAAAGGAGTGGCCTTGCTAATTGGGGCCTGCGACACATGGAAGCCCCGCAGGGTACTGTCGGGTCGAGGGGTTTGGGGTTTAGGGTTTAGGATCTAGGGTTTAGGGTTTAGGATTTAGGGGTTTAGGATTTAGGGTGTAGCCTACGTTGAGACCCATGCTGCTGGCAGATGCAGGCAGTGTACTTTGACCTGGGAGTGCAGTTTCTTAAAGTTACTTGTCATTCTTCTGGTTGGCTCTTAGGACTTTAACTTTTGGGGTTTCTATATGAACTATAATAAGTAGGCTAAAAGTTTAACTTTTAGGAGGGGTTCTAAAGTCAGCCAAGTTAGGGGCGCCTTTGTTGCACCTCGCACTGCATTGATCCCACAGCGGGAGCGGCTTTGGAAGAACTCAAGCTGGCGGGCTGTTTCGGTGTTCACCATCCATGGCTGGGCGCCAGGTTCGTTGAGATTCCCAAAAGTCTGCTACTGTATCATGGGTTGCCAGAGCTCATAGTAGGCTTAGCAAGGTTCTCATGTGAGATAAAGGTATAGACAGAGAAATAGAGCACTGCGTTGAAGCTTCAGGCAATGTCCTGCTCGCTGACTGCAGCAGCAGTAGCAGCTGTGTTGGCTTCAAGACATGCATCTCATGCAGATCATGTGAGTAACATCAGTTCTTGAGCACGTTTTAATAGACTTATCAATGGAATCCTATGAAGTACCGTGTGTCTTTTGCGCGTAGCACCTGACCTGCTGTCAAGCAGGCGCTCGTTGCGGATAATGCAGCTGCTCTACCACTCCTTTTGGCTCTCCTCGACTGAGGCAGCACAGCTGCTGGAGAGATTCCCGCTCGAGAGCAGCGCCTGGAGTACGGCGCATCCGGGCGGCAGGCCTGACGAAGGAGGTGCACGAAGAGTTCAGCAATGGGGGTTTGCTTTCGACTATGCGCTTTACGAGCTGGCCAAAGAGACGCCGGGCGTCGTTCCGCTGACGCATCAAGATGCCATGCCGAAGTGGTTGCAGGAGATTGGCAACCGAGCTTTTGAGGCCCTGGGCTTCAAGAGCAATCCCAGCCAGGTCATCGTGAATGAGTACCTAGATGGACAAGGTATTGGGGCGCACGCCGACCACCCGTGCTTCGGGCCAGAGATCGCCATCGTGTCCCTGGGCGACCCCATGGTCATGAGCTTCGCCAGGCGGCAGGAGATCCCTACAACCTCCAGGCAACAAGACATCCCTACAACTTTTGGGCAACAAGACATCCCCACAACTTTTGGGGGGGACGATATCCCTAGAACTTCAGGGCCACAAGACATCCCTACAACTTTTGGGGGACCTTTTGGGGACTTTAGCGTTCCCTTGGTGCACGGCTCGCTGCTGGGCCTCTCCGATGACCTGCGCTGGAACTGGTTGCACAGCATCGCCCCCAACCAGCGACCGAGATCTTGTTGAGGGGTTTAGGGTTTAGGGTTTAGGGCTATAATACAGAAACCATATTATTTACTCTGGGTGCCTATTATGGTATCTTAAATGAAATCCCCTAACAAGAACCCAGGCGACTGCGACGCAGAGTCTCGCTTACCTACCGTACCATCCAGGAGACGGCTCTACAAGCGCTCTGTGAGCCGACCCAGACCCCCAAAGGGATCTAACGAGATAGATCCCCTACGATCATGTGTGGATCCCTAAACCCTAAACCTCTGTGTGGATCATAGTCAGGTTATGCAGGGGTGAATTACATGTGTTTTTGGCAGCGGATCTCTAAACCCTAAACCCCACATGAGGGGACTACGTGGTGTTAATGCCTTCAGGGGAGCTATCGTCTAGATCCATCTGACGGTCTGGGAAGCATCGTTGGTGCACCCAACGCAGCCAAGAGACCGGGGGTGCTCCATGGCAAAAAGCGGAGAAGCTCGCTGCTGCACGCCGAGAGAGCCCAATACCCCTTAAATATAGAAGATAGTCATAATATGAAGCCCCTTTTTGTCTGAGGTTATGTTCCTTAGTTAAGAAATATTGAGTTCTCTGGGAGCAGCACTCTGTGAAAGGAGGCTTTCGCGTTGCATGTTAGCGGTGCACTTATGGGTTCAGGGCCTTCTATTGGCTTAGAGTTGATATCGCACTTATGGGTTTTAGGGTTTCGGGTTTGGGGTTTAGGGAACCCCGAACCCTATGCTCATTCTGTAGGAGCCTACATGACACTGGGATGAGATATCCGGAAAACTTAAAAAGGCTCATGGGACTTAGTGGATAGGGTTTGAAATGAGGTTGGAATTTGGATAACCCTACTTAGGGCATTACAACCCCAATAACGACGCTGCCTGCGAAATCCCCTGCGCGTTTCACTAGCTTTTGCAGGACGAGGCCTCTGGTGCTCCATGCTGCAGCGGTAAAGACCCCTGTCCAGCGGCCAATGATGGAACCTCTCCGCGACCTTATCCCCAGAAAAGATCGAAACTCGTAAGGCTGTGAGACCTCACTTGTTTGGGGGGCTTAGGGTTTAGGTTTTACAGGCTTTCCGTCGTGAACCGTACTGCACATGCACAGTGCCGACGGGATGGATCGGCCTTTAAAACATTATAGCCTTGCAAGCCTGTAATCCCTCAACTCTAGGGGATTTATATTTCAGGTACCTAAACCCTAAACCCTAAACCCTAAACCCTAAACCCTAAACCCTAAACCTGAACCAAGCCTGAGCCATCTCGTTTGAGTCGTGTTGCTGTGGCTTTTCTAACAGAATGTGGAGACCGTTGGTTCGTTTTAGGGTTCGCTTTTGAGGGTTCTATAGTTTTTGTTTTCGGGTTTAGGGTTTACATAGGGTTTAGGATTAGGGTTTAGATTTCTATGAAGAGTTAGCAGGGTCTTTGTAGTATAGGGACCCAAATATTCGTACTTGGGTTTTGGTTGGGGAGTTTTGTCGTAGAGCCAGATTGAGGAACCCTACGGACAAGTATCACTAGGTCTTCAGTTCCAGAGCTCAAACCATAAACCTTAAACCCTTATTCAAAGGATCATGGGACTTAGTAACTAGGCTTACCAAAAAACTACCCGTACTTATAGCTACGGAAAATCCCAACACGGTAGTTAAAACCTTAGGTTTTAAGGACCCTCCAACCCCTGAACCCTTAACCCCTAAACCCTAAACCCCAAAACCCAAAACCCCTAAACCCCAAACCCTAAACCCAAGACTCCCCTGGCCCTTTAACCCCTAAACCCTAAACCCCTAAACCCAAAGCCCTCCAACGATAGTCCGGTCGAAGAGCTCAAGGGATGGCAGAAGGCTGCGGATGTATGGGTTCTGGGTTTAGGGGTTTAGGGTTTAGAGCTTTAGGGGTTTAGGGTTTAGGGGTTTAGGGTTTAGGGTTTAGAGGTGTTTGGGTTGAAGGCCTATTCTTCAGAATTTGAGGACTTTAAGGTTTGAGGCTTGGGATCTTCGAGTTTAGAATCCAGGGTTCTGGGTTTAGACGTAAAGTTTGGTTTGCCACCGTAAACCCATGCACCCCAAGAGCTGAACCCGCAAACTTACAACCCAAACCCTCAAGGCCAAGATTACTTTGGTGTTCTTCTGGTTGGCTCGTAAGACTTTAACTTTGGGGTTTCTATATGAAATATAATAAGGAGGCTAAAAGTTTAACTTTTAGGAGGGGTTCAGAAGTCAGCCTTGTTCTCCTAATCCTGCTACACACACAGCCCTTACTTAAAGGCTCGTGGGACTTAGCAAGTGAGTAAGGTTATAAGTAAGGTAGTAATTCGGATAACCCTACTCAACCTACCTGTACCCCCAAACATAAGACTACTTACTAAGCCTTAAGCCCTGAAGTAGAGAATCTCTGGGCTTAGAGCTGGGCACTAAACCCTAAACCCTAAACCCTACAGCCTCCAGGACACTGCGGGGCACTTCATCTTCGCCGAGCTCTCGGCCGGCTTAGACAACTCGGACCACTGCGCGGCGCAATCTTCCGAGGAGCGTGGGAAGGCTACTGCTGCTGGTAGTAGTACTACTTCTACCACTTCTTCCGCTACTACTGCTATAATACTACTACTACTACTACTACTACTACTACTACTACAACACTACTACACTACAACACTACAACACTACAACACTACAACACTACAACACTACAACACTACAACACGACGACGACGACGACGACGACGACGACTACTACTACTACTACTAGTTCTATTCCTACTACTATAATACCCAGAAGCTCAGAGAGAAATGTGACCTACTGTTTGTGTGGCTGTGTCTGTGTGTGTGCGCTCGTCTACGGGCGCAGGTGCGATCGTTCGTCTGCTGGAGATCTCAATCTTAGCCGGCCTGCTGATACCATGCTTTCAAGCTTGATGATGGCCGCGACGGGTATATTACATCTCGGCTCGAAGGTACCGGGGCTGTCCACCTTCCAGTCATCACGACCAAACCTCGAGAAGCCTCTGATCCCGGATCTTGAAGCCACAAAACCCTCTATCGGAGTGCGAATCCTTGGGGTTCGCATCACCCTCGGACCTGAAGCCTCAACCCTACCCTGTACCTGCTCCACACAATGTTCATCATCGCCTGTGCTGAGCCACGCCAAAGGCGTGCGCTCAGAAGGCCTGCGTAGAATCCCAGCGCAGTGCAACAGAGGGGTTGAGGATTTGTGAATTTCCCAGTTCGGGCACCCAGGCTCCCAGAGAAACATAGCTTCGAATTCAGTCAGACAGAAGCTCGCCGGTCTATACATGCTGCTGTGAAACCCGACGTCCACCTGTAAACCTGCAACTAACAATCATGTATCCACATCCTTTGATAATCCCAGTACAAATGTGCAATGATATTTGCGGGAACGCTACTCTGAATGTTATAACATTACGGAGCTTGGTAGGATTCTGCGGAAAACGGTTTTGCGGTGGTCGAAGACCGACCGACTGCTGCCAGTCCGAGGTGAGATCCCACTTAAGGCAAGCAGGGTGTCAGGGTTCAGGTCTATGGGTTCAGGTCTATGTCCTCGGACCCCAAACCGTGTTAAACACTTGGTTGTTGATCTAGTTTAAGGGTTATCACGGCTGTAAGGATACTAGACCCACTTGCAGGGCAAGCACTTGGTTCAGGGGTTGGTATTTTGATCTGTGATCGTTCAATCCTGGATCCTAGTGGTCCGAGACGAGACCCCACCCAACCTTGCTTACATCGACAGGGAAACGACCTCGCGCGCGCGGCGTTTCCATTGCACTCTTTCTCCAGCTCGCGCGGGTTGCTTCCGGTGGTTCAACCCAGTATGGGGTTTCCGGCTTCAGGTTTCAAGTTGAGTTTCTTTAGAGATGGTCAAGCTGTGCATCCTGCGCTGGAATTCCACGCGCAAGGATGATAAATAAGATCGGTGGCTAACTGTCGAGCCAAACCCAGTTTCCTAAAATCCCTTCACAAACATCCCCTTAACCTTAGACCAGACCCACACAAATCCTGCAAAGAATAGATAGAGCAATAGATTGACATGACAGGCGGTTGCACAACAAACTTGAACAGTTGCTCAAGACCTTGGCGCAGCGGTGCTCTTCTTCCTTCCCCTCGGAGCTTTCTCAGTCTAAAGGGCTTCGGGTATGTATCGACAGAATGATCACACAGACTCGGGCACAGGTGTCCTGTTGCGGTCTCGCAGCATCCCGAAAGTAGTCTCTGCCGGGTTCGTAGGACTGCAAAGTGTATTGGGTGTGGGATGACGGACAAGAAATTCGTGTAGCATCCTGCGCGAGCACAGGAGCCTAGGAGGCAGCTGCTGTTCGGGCTTTCTCGGGCCAGGCCACATGGGCCACATTGTGGCCACATGCCTCAACTTTTGATACGGATTCTGCGCACAGCCCAGCGCTAAATTCTGGCCCCGCCCAGCCTGAACAGCGCCCGACACTCTTTTAGCAATGGCTTCTGAGCTGGAAAGCGACATGCCGCTTGGGCAGCACAGACCCCACAATCCTCATGTCCAAATATCCAGCAACCTTGTCTCCTAACCTTGCAGGCTTCAACAACAGCAACCCATCATTGTAAAGAGCAGCCGTACGCTAACATCTAGCCGAGGTATGATTGTACCAGGGTGTCCTGAAGCTGTTCGAGTTGATGGGGCTTGAGGTAGCGACTTTCAGGTCCGGTTTAAAATATTTTCCGATAAGGAGGGCTATGCAAGGTTCGGGGTCTGTGCATTCTTCACTTAAGTCATCAGAAGCCTCACACCCTGCATATATATTTCCCTCAGACTTCAGTTAGCCCTGCACTCCGCAACCTCAACCTGATTCTAACTTGGGTGAAGTGGAGTGGAGTAGCGACCAAGACCGAAGTCTGGTCAAGGGCGGTATCATTTCCGGCCTGACGGCTGGGGGGTCAAACCGCGAAACGACAAGACACGACACAACAAAACGGCGAGCTGACTCGACGTGCGAAACGACTCGATTCATAAGGGGGGTTGGATATCCCGCCAGCCAACAAGCTTCGTCATGAAGAGGACGATGCAGCAACCCGACAATCGCCGCAAGACCGGCGGATGGATACCCCGCAAGCCCACAAGCTTGCTTCGTCGCGAAGACGTCGACTGCGAAATCACATTAATCTGCGCTGTCGCTTTGCATAGGCCGGGCCAGGCCAGATGACAAGGAAGTTCTCCCGGCAACCCGTTGA